ATCCTGTTCATATGGACCTGTCGTCAGACAGAACACTAAATAATAATAAGATGAGGTGGTCTAGGCAACACGGAGTTTTCCTCCGGGGGCTTCCCCGGTTTCTCTGTGGCATCCCAACAATTACTCCATTCACACTCACACAGAAGAAGGCAATGGCAAACCCCTTCTGGATCATCTGCCAAGAACGTATATGAACAGGTCCCAGTCCGAGAAAAGGATGGAAGGATCCTGTTCATATGGACCTGTCGTCAGACAGAACACTAAATAATAAAAAATAAATAGGCTAACATTAACAGAAAGAGAAAATTTATTGGTGGATATGACACAATGTATTTTGATATTAGTGAATGAACGACATTTGTAGCACAATAACAGCAAGTAGGTCTAATGTCTGAATGTTTGACCTTATCTTGTTTTAAATGATTTTATCACGGACAGTTCCTTCACGTGCATTGAATTAATCTCCTGATATGCTATTTATTGTATTCAAGATATCATAATTGTTTGACATTGATTCTGAGATTTCAAAACAATTATCTCAAAATTTCCACAAAACGTTCGTATTTTGTTTAGTCCAATGAGTAAATTCTCTCGATTTACATACGGTATCAGATTACGCAAGGAAATATCATTGTTTCTATTGCACATTTATATTCTTCGACGTTTAAGTCTGTGATTCATACTAATCTGTGAGGCCCATGTCGTGTAAGGGGGAGTCTTAATTGTTTTTCTTAAATCTGTATATAGACTACACTACAATTGAAATGATACTTGTTATGGAGCGGGAGAGATTAGATTGATTACCTTTGCTAATGACTGACTTGGAAATATTCGGTAATTTAAGGGTTTGAAATATGTAGAATATTTCGGCAATGGGAGTTTCTGTGGCTTTCTGCACAAACCAGACAACAGAAAAGCAGATTCAAATAGGAGTAATGTATATTACTTTAAGTTGGGGGCTAACTCGTCCGGATCTCGGCACAGACTGTCCTAACTCGTATTTTCTTGGGTTTACTCAGTATCTATAGGCGAATTACTTTCAAATATTTCTTGGTTGTCCCTTCGAAATTCTTATTTTAAGCGCCATTTCTAATTATCGTTGTAGCGTTATGCGACACTAAATATCGTATTTGAGTCTACAAGTTAGGAATTTATTTCACAGCAGAACAACTCCCGTGCTTTTGACCTGTAACATAGGTAACCGTGGTAACCATGGTAACCAAAACAGCCTCGAGATTCCGCACTCAGCCTCTTCCTCATGCAGAAAATTATGTAAATCTTCATGAAAAATATTTTTTAATAGTGTACGATTCTAACCAGGAATAGAATGTCTACAAATTTTAGTGGAACTGCAAGTTTTACAAATCTAGTAGTTTTAATTTAACTATCCTGAAAAAAAATTATGAAAATCCGTTCAGACGTTTTTGATTTATAAATGTGTACAGTCTGACACAGTTAAATGGAGTGATTTTAATATATAAATAAATAAATATATATATAAATTACAAAAACACGTAAAAAAAGGTATTTATTGACTGCAGAATCATTCCGTCATTGTTAATCGTAAAACGAGTTGGTTGGGAACGAATACACAAGCAGGAGATTTGCTACAGGGCCTATAACTTGCAGTCGGTATGACCCACGAAGACTTTCAGAGATAACTTACTTTCGGGAAGAGAGTCAACATGTTTGTTGAAGGAAACATGACAGTGTGACCGGCTACCAGTCGGGAAGTCTTTGTATTGGATCCCAAGCGAAAATACTCTCGGGTTGCAGTAGGAATATTTCCGTCCGACGCTGCCAGACAACATGCAGCCGCCGAGACAGTTGAATGGCGTGACGGACAGGCGACAACCACCCTACCAGGCGCCTGTTGGTGCCGTCACTCAACACGTCAGGTTAGGGATTGCCAATTTCACAAACAAACTTCCCCGTCCTTAAGGTATCGAGTAGACTGAAAAGGATACTCTGAGCTGTCAATCTGAAGAGAAGCCTTAGTACCTCTGCTCTAGTCTGCTTTGGTACAAGGTAAAAGAAATGGTAATTTGTCGTCACGTTTACCAGGACATGAAGGCGTGAAGGAGTAATGGAGGTAACACTCCACAAATTATACACCTGAGGGGCAGATGGGAG